GAACTTGAGTTTTGCATGCACATCTGTTTTATAGATGTGGCTTGTTTGTGAGTGAGAGAGAGAGAGAGAGTGAGTGAGTGAGTGAGTGAGTGAGTGAGTGAGTGAGTGAGTGAGTGAGTGACTGAGTGAGAGGGAGAGAGAGAGAGGGAGAGAGAGAGAGAGGGAGGGAGGGAGGGAGGGAGAGAGAGAGAGAGAGGGAGAGAGAGAGAGAGAGGGAGGGAGAGAGAGAGACACAGAGAGAGAGAGTGAGAGAGAGAGAGAGAGAGAGAGAGACAGAGAGAGAGTGTGTGTGTGTGCGCGTGTGTGTGTGCATGCGTGTGTGTGCGCGTGCGTGCGCATGTAGAATACTGGAGAACTTAGAATGCTACTGTCTTTACAAGACCAAAAGGCAAGGTGGTGTAACAAAGAAAGCACACAATTTACTACACCAAACACAAACAATATACAGGTTGTTAGGTGTGTAGAGAGTCTGGTGCAGCTTGGAGAGATAACAGGATCTGGCTGACACCATGTACTTAGAAGGAATGACAAGATTATTTGTGGATATTACAGAAAAACCAAGTAGCTCTAAATGCCAATCAGACATACCAGTCACAATGTCCAGCCAGATTTTTGGTTAATGAAAGACATTGAAGGGCTGATATGATCAGATATAAGCCATTCAGGCACATTGAGAATCAGATTTTTGCACCTAGATATTTAAGATATTCTTCAGCAATCTGGCCTAGATCATATGTTCATGGTCATGACTCAATACTTCTCTGTGTTGATATTTTGATGATGTTATTTTGCTTCGTGAGGCGGATTCATGGAAACAGAAAGCCATAAAGCGCAGTGCACAGAGAGATTTAGAAAAAGAACAAGGGCAAAGGTAACAGATAACAGACAGGTTTAACAGCTGATGATTTGAGATTCAAAATGTCAAACATATGTGACAGCAAATACGGTCCTAAAATCTTAAGCCCTTATTGTGGAAGATTAAAGCAAGCTGGACTTAATACTGTGCATTCACAAATTTAGGCTATCCTCCAAATAATGGTCCCAAACTATCGAGGCCGAAAATATACCCTAACAGGGCCTCAGTCACGTGTCAATTGCGCACTTCCGGAGGCTATACTGCCACCGCCGAGAGTCTCGCCGGTGTGGACTGGGGCTAAACTAGATGGCTGGGACTCACGAGCAAATAAAATGAAGAAAGCTGCAGGAGATGCGGTAGCTGCTGCTCGTGACTGAGGCCCTGTTAGGATATATTTTTGGCCTCGATAATTTAGGACCGTTATTCGGAGGATAGCCCAAATTTGTGCTAAAAAAAGAAATATCTCAGCCATAGTGGAATACAAATGGATGAAATTATATTTTAATTTTTACTTTATTCTCAATGTTATGTCAAATTCTTTTGCCTGCATAACAAATAATTAGAATGCATTTCTGCTTATTCAGAGTATATAAATACATGATGATTCCTACTGGGTTGCTTTTTATGAATTATACAGCATAAAGTTCCCACGTAACCAATTGATCTTAAAAAAAAAAACATTTTATTTCTTGTGATTTAAGTAAATTCTGAATAAGACCACAACCGTTGAGCTGAAAGTGTCAAACGCACTATAAAATCAGTTTGCTGGATCATTTCCAAGTTTCTTCCAACTTGTAAATGCGTAACTTATGTGTTTAAGGTCAGAGTTATTGCCGTTGGTACTTAAAATTTGTTTTTGAAAATTACACAATAGATGAAAACAAAAGAAAACGTCTGTTTTGATACAAATGAACAGTTGAGATGAAAATAGGTGTCCACCCAAAAGAAAAAAGTCATGATCCAAGGATAAGTAATTATTGAGAAATTATCGAAAATACAATGGCACGATACTGTAAAAGCACTACAGACACAACTAGCATCTCCAAGGGATGTGATTTTAATGACTGCCCATACCATAATGGGACACATCTTTTTTCACTACTTCTGGAATGCATCACAGCATCAGTACAGGAAGTAGCTCTGGAACGGTTAATGTTAATTTTTCAGCCTGCATTTCACCAGAGTCTATTTCGGACAGACTAGAGTTGACGTGAAATATAAGTCTGAATGTGACAGTCCAGTTCAAATGCGACCATTCTGGGAAGTTTGGAAACACTTGACTGGTCCAGCAAACCGATAGTGGTTTATTTAGAGCTCGCAGAAAAATGAAGAGATCCCATGAATGGGACACTATCATCTGGAAGGACAAAAATGTCTTTTACCATGTGGGTTTCCTAGAAAGGATCTTCTGGTTAGATAAACAGGATGTGGAGCTGTGTCCTTTTCAGTGCCTTGTTCTCACCTCTTGATATACCATAATTTACGAGTTCCTTCCTTACTTAAACTACCCAGTAGTGATTCTCCTCTTCTTCGCATTCACCAGCTGTAAACTCCTGTGGGAACTGTTGGTTGTTTAAGCACCTCTGGATTTTAGACGTGTTCCAGAACTTGAATTGTGCGCCTACATATGTTTTACAGATTTGGCTTACTTGAACGCAGACTGTTGGTTCCTTGCCTTTCAGGCAGATGCATTCCCATTTCGGAGGAAATCCAGAATTAGTCGATTCCTACTTGTTAGGAAGGCAGTAGGTCTGTCTATTCTTGTTTTTCCTTACAGCGGGGCCTCGGAACCCACAAAGTGAGATTCTATCATACCGGGGTCTCGGAACCCATAAAGTGAGATTCTATCATACTATTTTAGTCCTTATATTGTCTGCAGGCATCAGTTATTGTATGTCTGTAGCACATATGAGTGCATGATATTAGCGTAGCATGTGTGTCACAATGTTAACACAGAAATAGATGTGTCAAATGCTTAGGTGTCCACATGGCACAATTAGGAGCACCCTGATGTTAACACAGCCCGTATGTATGTCTCACAATGTTAACACAGAACATATATTTGTCACAATATAAACATACAATGTGTGTGTGTGACAATGTTAACGAAGAAACGAATGTCTAAAAAAAAAAAAGATATGTTAACACAGCAAATACTGGTGCATCCTGATGTTGACACAGCACATATTAGTACATCCTAATAACAACAAAACACATTAAGTTGTGTCAGGATATTAACATACCAGTATTGGGTGTGTCCAAAATTCTAATAAAAACCGATAACAGTGAACAACTGTGACAAATAATAAAAACATCAAAAGCAACAACTAGTACATGCAGCATACTCAAGCAAACAAGCAGTCTTATTTAACTTGATATAAAGTAAATTTGTGAAACTTATTTTAAAAAAAATGTTGAAATAATCAGTAACTGAAAACAAGGCTTTCCTCTTAACAGACTCAATATTGGAATGCACAGAGATGCTATGGACAACAAGTAATGGCTTTAGAAATAAAATAGAAATGAACTGCACAGAAACCAAATGGGGAATTGGTATTAGCAACACACACACAGACACAAAAGTCAAACACACACAGACACAGAAGTCAAACAACAACAGACACAGAAGTCAAACACACACAGACACACAAGTCAAACACACACAGACACACAAGTCAAACACACACAGACACAGAAGTCAAACACACACAGACACAGAAGTCAAACACACACAGACACACAAGTCAAACACACACAGACAAATGTCAAACACACACAGACACAGAAGTCAAACACACACAGACACAGAAGTCAAACACACACAGACACACAAGTCAAACACACACAGACACACAAGTCAAACACACACAGACACAGACAAACAGAAGTCAAACACACACGATACAGAAGACACACACAAGTCAACAACACACACACAGTCAAACCACACACACAAGTCAAACACACACAGATACCGAAGTCAAACCACACACACACACAAGTCACAACACACACAGACACACAAGTCAAAACACACACAGAAGTCAAAACACACACAGACACAAGTCAAACACACACAGATACCGATACACAAGTCAAAACACACACACAGAACACGAGAAGTCAAAACACACCACACACAAGTCAAAACATAAGTCAAACACACACAGACACACAAGTCAAACACACACAGACACACAAGTCAAACACACACAGGCACAGAAGTCAAACACACACAGGCACAGAAGTCAAACACACACAGACACACAAGTCAAACACACACAGACATAATGAACAACAAATAGTGGATCTAGAAATAAAATGGAGGTCTTAAAGAAAATGGGAGTCGCTGTGGCGTAGTGCTACTCTCTCGCCTGTGAATCAGAAGGTCGTGAGATCGCTTCCTGGAAGAGCCGGACTTTAAAAAAAAATGACCTTGGCTTCCAGGCTGACCCAACCTTGAGTGGGTAAAAGGTGCAGTCCTGGGAAGTAAAGGCAGTCGGCATGATGCTGACCACATCACCTATCTTATGCCATTGGTCTATAAAATATAGCTCTAGCCCTATATACCCAATACTTTTACTTCACTTTCTTACTGTTACAGAAATTCCCCAGTTCTTGATAGAAAAAAAAAAAAAACATTTAAAATGTATACAAGCAAGAGAAATGTATAAAAAATCTTAGGAGGAGAAAATTCTATTGACACCATACTGCAAACATCCATGCAGCTGCGAAACTATACAACTTGTTTATAATGGATACATGATGAACATCGATAGATACAAAAACAAAAATTAACAATGACATTCGTAATATTACACACATAACAAAATTTTATAACTTCGTTTACAGAGCAGAAACAAAAAGTACACATGTGATTTCTGTGCAATCATTTTGTGCAATAATTTAAACAGCCATTTGAAAAAAAAATTACCAAAAAAAAAAAAAAAAAAAAAAGGAAAAAAATATTCAGTGTTTCTACAAAATAGCAATAAGTAATACTTTTTGCCATTTTTAGTTTTATTATGTTTTTGTCATCACGCCTGTTTAAAGTGATGAGGCTTGGCTGCCAGATTTTTGTGTTGTTTTTGTTTAAATTTTTTATAAGTACAGAAGTGTAACGGTTGAAAGATGCTGCATGTACCTGATTGGCCAACGAGGTGACTCCCAACCTTACCCGTGATCGCGACACACTTGAAGCCGTGGAGGACATTGAGAGCACACTCTCCTGGCTGCCGCTGTGTTCTCGGGAGCTGCGCAGGCTGGTGGACATGAGTGGCCTTGAGTGGGGTGAGGGGGTGGAGGTCAGCGAGCCAGCTCGAGAGATTTTGTGAACGGGTGCAAATAACCCATGCAGGGGTTTGCAATCAAAGTATCTGAGGAGACAGTTTGTTACTGATTACTGACCATGGAGATCATATTAAATAGAAGACAACACTTTTATACTATTTTCCGCTCCAGACTGGAGGGGAAAGCTAAAGGCAAGCAAGCAAGAGGCAGTCATCGATACAAGCATCAAGATAATATGAAGCGATGGATGAACAGAAGCATGAGAGAGTGTACATCCGGGTCAAACGACAGCATCTGACAGCGGACCTTAACTGTGAAGATGTCCTTGATTGACTGATAATCATGGAGAAAAAAGCTGCTAGCATGATCATCTGTGGCCCTGGGGGCGATTAATTTAAATCCATATTGACAGAAGGATTCTGAAAACAAATTTCAGTTGGCTCCCAAAATTTGCTCTCCCTCCTTCCTAGTGTTCATCGGCTTTAAACTCAGGTGGACAGAAAGTTCTGGTTGCTCATTCACTTTTGGACTTTGGTCTTGTTGTAAACCTTTGAGTAGTTCACCACTGTGCTCATGTGGGCTGTGTATGCAAACTACAGAACATGTCCTGCAAGAATGTCTGTTGTACAACCCACTAAGAAGGGAATACTAGCCCAATGAGTCAACATCATATACAAAGGTGTATGGAATGAAAAGGGAACTCCTAAAAACAGTTAATTTTATCAGAACTCATCTGTTGGTGTAAATGAGAAAGCGATGACAAGAAGTTTTTGCATGTACATCCATTTTGCAGATTTGGCTTATTTGTATGCAGACTGTCGGCTCCTAACCTCTCAGGCAGATGCACTTCCAGTTTTGGAAAGTAAACAACTCTAATTAGTTACCTTTTAGACATGCCTGATAGGGGCAGTGGGTCTATTCTTATTTTCCTCAAAACAGGGACCTGGAACCCACATGCGGAGCTTCCTAAATCAACCAACTTCATACCGGGTACCAGAAAATACCATATTACCCATTAGATATGGGTTCCAATGATTAGGAATAGAAGTTAAATGCATTTGAAAATAAATGTTTGAATTTTTGTTTTTACAAATGAACTCTGTGAGTACCTAGGTCCTCTCGAACTGTTCTCTGAAAAGGTTACATGCTGGATTCCTCCACCTAATATAAGGATGGAGAACACAACCCTTTTCTTCTTTTGGCAAAATCTTAAACAGTGAACACTGTGAGATACACCCAATCAGCTTGAGCCAGAAACAATAAGCAAATCTCTAATGACTGTGAATGACTTTGCAATACTTTTTGCTTCTGCTTTTGTTTGTTATCCCCTAACAGAACCTAATTACTCGACCAACTTGCACCAAGTCCTTTAGTCCTTGCCATGAAACTTCACAAAAAGACACAATTTAACAACTCTAACCTTTTGCCTGCCACAGCTCCATCGTTTTTGCCCATTGGCTGATCCAGCTCCACACCAGCCCAGACCCCTTTGGCAAAGTCTGTCTCCCCAATGTAGCGGAGGACCCCAGACTTGGAGCCACTCACAAGCACCTGCAAGTATGAGTTCAGACATAAGCAGTCAGCGAAAAACAATATCAGGCACCTGCAAGTATTCATAATATATTTTCTTCTTCTTCTTCATGTTCATCAGTTGTAAACTCGGGCGGAATGCTCTGAGTGTTCGTTCACCTCTGGACTTTAGTCTTGTTCCAGAAACTGAGTGCTGTGTGCACATCCATTTCACATATCTGGCATATTTGCATGCAGACTGCAAGTTTCTTACCTCTCAGGCAGATGTACTGAGTTCAAAGGAGTGTCCCCCAATGAGTCGACTCCTACCACATGGTTGCCAGGAAGGCCGTGGGACTATTATTGTTCTCCCCACAATGGGCCCTGGAACCCGCAGGGATTCATCATATGTGAGGATTCAACATTTGTGAGGATTCATCAAATGTGAGGATTCATCATATGTGAGCTCAAACAGAGCAGTCACACAATCAGCGCAATGGAACATTTTAAAAACTTGTTAAATTTCTTTTTAATATCAAAATGTGTCTTGACTTACAGCAATTGTACCAAGAGTTCATGTAAGTGAGACTGATAATGGTTGTAAGCGTGACCAGAAAAGATCAAATCAAAACTGAAGTCTGAAAAGAAAAAGACAGCAAAGAACTAGTACTATTACACAAAGACAGCAAATAAAATGGTTTGCCTACTTAGAATCCAGTGTGACATTGTGACATCATAGCATATAAGGCATAGACTAAAAGAGGAAAGGGACATAGATTACGAGGTAGACCAAGAACAAAATGGAAAGATATAGGAAACTCTACAACAGTAGGATGTGTATATAGTCAAGGTGATCAAAAAGCAGACTCTTTTATCTGCCTCAATAGATGAAACCCTAAAAGGGGGATTGAAGAAGATACCAACGTGAAATCAATGCACTCTCCAAAAGCAATCTCTCACACTGAGATAATAAATGAGTCTTATATTGTTTTTCCAAAGAATGAAAGAATGAAAAAAGTGACCTCGCTGCACTCTGAACATTCCTACATGGGTTCCGACCCCCATCCTTCCTAGTCAACAAAGAGTTCCTATACCAATGGCGTCAGTTACAACATGATCAAAAGTTGTTTCCCTTGCAGGCAGAAAATCATCCAGACCCTCTGCTTACTGCCAGCTGAATAGTTCTTCACTCACATCAAGACAACAACTGATGTCTCACATCATGACAACAACTGATGTCTCACATCATGATGACAAATGATGTTTCACATCATGGCATAATAAATGTCTCACATCATGATAACTGAAGTCTCACATCATGACAAATGATGTCTCACATCATGACAACTGATGTCTCACATCATGACACCTGATGTCTCACATCATGACAACTGATGTCTCACAACATGGCACCTGATGTCTCACATCATGACAACTGATATCCTACATCATGACAATCCCTTCTACTTACCCTGTCTCCAACCCTGACACCACCCGGCATGGTGCCAGGCAACCTCAAAGGGGTTACCCCGTAACCGCCGACACTTGTGGGTGTAGCTCCAGCTGAAGATGTTTTGTGAAGACTTGAAGATGATGATGACAGGTTCTTGCTGGCACTTAAACCAAGCCGAGACTGTAAACAGACATGCATTTTCTTGTCAGTGGCTATCACATGAACAGAGTGTGGTTCTTTTCTGTTATTCAACTACATCACGTCGGCTTTGAGATTTTGGTAGGGAAATCCCCAACTGTCCCACCGTGTGTGTGTGTGTGTGTGGGGGGGGGGGGGGGGTAAGGGTCAGGCTTAGTAGAAGTTGCTATTTATTTTATTTAAAACTAGCCCTAACCCTAATCCCTCTATACTATGGGATGGTCTATTTTTTCTCTCTCACTCACATAATGGCACTCGAGAACCCACAAGGGAAACAAAGCTCCTCCTACTTCTGCTCTTTATCTCAGCCCACCCCCCCCCCCCCTTTCCCCATGGAGACTGCAAACTGACTCAAGCCACTTGAGACTCTCTAGTTCCTTTCTGCGCATGTCTTTCGTCTGCTTTTTGTTTGTTTGATCCTAGAGGTGCAAAGACCTTTTAGCTAAATTGTTAGGAGTTTTTTTCAATGTGTGTTCTATCCATTAAAAGTGTCTTTTCTTCACCTCTTGATTCACTGGACTTTCTTACATTTTTCATTCACTTAATAATTTATTTTTTTTCAGCCGCGATGGTCTAGTGGCTAGATACCCATCTGCTGGCCAGAAGATTTGGGGTTTAAATCTCTGAGTCATAGTTGAAGTCGGAGTGCCAGTACTGTGAAAAGGTCCCCCTTGGAGTCGGAGTGCCAGTACTGTGAAAAGGTCCCCTTGAAGTCAGAGTGCCAGTACTGTTAAAGGTCCCCCTTACTTACAATTATTTTGTCACTTTACAGCAAAACTTTGATTAACCCTCACTTGTTTAACCGTCAGTTTCTGTTATCTAACATCATCTTTAAAAAAAAAAATCATGAGTATCAACACAGACACCTCTCAAACTATCCATAGATTAGGTTTTACACCTTATTGTATCAAGTGATTGTACTGTATGATGAAAGAAAGTTGTAAAGTGCATCGACAGGTGTGAAATGCTAGAAGGCAAATGCAACACAGATCCAATTTCTGCGCTAACATACGGAACATCACCAGGCAGAAAGCTGCAGCCTCAAAGACACAGAAGGAGATGACAGATTACTTTTAAGTAATGTAGGTTTCTAGTGTTACAATAGATTTATGTGCATTGCTACTTTATATTGAAGTTTATACCACATAACCAAGTTAAACTCAGTATGCAGTAAACACAACATGAAGATCAATGTAAACAAAACAGAAACAATGCAAGTTAGTAGAACCCCTGCCCCACTACACATACAGCTGAATGGTTCTGCCTGAATCAAGTTAGGGAGTTTAAATATCTAGGAAGGGATGATCACAGTAAGCTAGTAGAATGACAGAGAAATATAAAACCAGATGTCAGAAAGCAAGTGCACTTATATACCAATTGTCACCATTTATTAAGACATCAAGCATAACTATGAGTGCAAAGAGACAGATATTAATAGCATATTCATTCCAACATTAAGCTACAGTGCCAAACATGGACACTGATCTAAAGCCCATATACGCAAAATCACCACCTGCGAGATGAGGTGCCTGAGAAAAGCAGCCACCAACCATACAAGATCGAGTGAATAATGAAACTATCAGGCAAATTGTGGGAACGACACCTTGTACTAGATTCATCGAGAAAACAAGCAGATCAAGTGGTTTGGCCATCCTCATTAGAATGCAGCAAGATCAAATACCATCACAAGCACTACCATCTCAGAAGATCAGCTACAAGAGCAAGAGGATAGCCGCGGAAGACATGGATCGACAACATTAAAAGACGCTCTACGCTGTGACGAAATGACCTCAGTCGGTCTCAGAAGTTATATTGTGGTTAAGAATTTCATTTATGTTCAGAGAAGGACAAAGAATTAAAAGCAATAGACACTGAGCTAAAATAGTTCTAAAACGCACTTACAAGGGATTTGAGTATTGTTTAAACTGCGTTTCCAATCTCTAGCCAGACAAAGCAAACCTTGCTTTAGGTAATATTTACCTTGGCTAGGAATTCCTTCTCACGCCCATGTCATATAATTATCTCCTGCCCAGTCTGTAACTTGACCACCCTTTGCTCCCCAAAAAA